AAGAATGTAAATAGCAGACAGAGGCAGCTACTTCCAAACTGGTGCAGTGGCTACAACTGTACAGGATACAGGTACAAAACTTAAAAAGGAAAAAAAAAGATATTTGCCAGAAATCTGAAAATTATGCAAATTGTAACCACATGGGTGTAAATTATGTATACCTCTTAAAAATAAACCTGTCCATATGCAGTTCCACTTGCAGCCCTACATTATGTGGACACACTAAGAAGTTCTTATGGGTACACATGTGCTTACACCCCCCCCCCCCATCAATACCTTCTACGACGTTAATGACCGGTGTTAGGCTTATGAACCACTTCACCTTATTGGCTATTAGGTGGAACACATAAAAAATCGCAAAAGTGAAATTCAGCAAACAAGTGAAAAAAAATCTTATGAAAGCTTTTTTTTCTTCTATGGAAATATCTCCTCAGGTTGGTGCCAAGGCCGGACCACTTTTGTCTGGTACTACCATTACCTTCCATACATGATTCAGCCCTTCGAGACGGGCACTAATGTACAGTGTATGGGAACGCATGCGCTTGATTTATGAAGGAGACAATCAGTGTGGGAGGTGAGGTAGGCGAGAATGGCGGAAGATTAATGGAAGAAAATATGTAAATTTGGGACAGCTATCTCTATTATTACATATTTGCGACGATAATGTAATAAAAGAAAATTACCTTATAATTAGACGTCTTATTCGAATATGATAATAGATTAGGGGTAGGAATGTTGTGTGCGGAAATGCAATAATACCAATTTTAGCTTCGGTCATCTGTATTTGGATATCCAAACTTATGTTTTCCCGATGGTCTAGTCCAGTGGTCCCCAACTCTTAGTAGGCCCTGGGCCACATTTATCACTGTAAATATAGTGGAGGGCGCCAAGACTTTGGACCTACTTGCAAGAAATATAATCTCATATACTGTAGAGTGATTTACAGTTCTACATGTCCAGCTGTTACCAGTTATATTTTTAACTTTACTCTTTGACAGAACGGCTGGCTCTCTCCGGGCCCAGTCTGGGGTAAATACACGTCCTGTACACGACAGAAGGGGGGGTTCCTCTCTCTAACTATAAACTTGCATCAAGTTATTACACATTTTCATTAATTCCACTCTTGCAAAGAATCCCAAATAATTCACAATTTCCTAATAAACAATTGCGGGCTCCATAATATGGCCGCGAACTACAGGTTGGGGACCAATAGTTTTAACAATTCCAAGAAACTTTTCATCTATGACGTTTCCCTCGAAAATGACCTAATCTAACTGGGAGGGGGGGGGGCTCCCCCCCCAAGCATAAGCAAGTCGTTTGTGAGGGAAACGTTATAGAAGTCTTAAATAGTTTTAACTGCTGATTTCAATGGCCAAATTCCAAAGATTCCCCGATGACAAACTAAAATAAATAGCCCTACTATAATTAGAGCATGTGGGAAAAAATGAAATCGATTAACTGGTGGTAGCATTTTCCACATAAACTACCCTATTATCTAACTAGGGGTTTATTCCTGCTAAAATCAGCCAGTTTAGTGATGGTTACCGTGAGGTCACCAAAGTTCGGAAGGCACAGAGGTTACGGCCTACTTGCCGTTTCTTAGGCAAATTAAATGAAGTTTCCATTTTTCCAACATAGTCAACATCAGATTCGTCACTACAAAATGTTTAGTAAATAACATCCCCTAATTAGTTCAACAGTACACCAATTAAATTTTATAAAACCGAACATACAAAATCGCAAAAAAGCTCTGGAGTCAATCCCTAAGGTCCTTCAACTATTGAGGAACACTGACCTAATCGCCCATTCGTCCTCAACTTAACCCGAGGTTGAATAATGATCAATTCAGAATTAACAACTAAAGTACAGTTCCGCCATTAAAACTTAAGGACGGCTACCGGTTCTTAACTCACCTCATCAGTGACGACACAAGCGATACGAGGAAGCCCACTGTTGTTTGTCGAAAATTCATCTTGTGAGGATAGTGCCAAAAAATCGGTCCTAGGTGTGTTGATAATTGCCGGAAAGAAAATAAATGTATACGTCCACCGACTACTCTCACAGTTCCTGCTCTCCCAAAAGTCCTAGAGTCAATGGTTCCATCGACGTTCATTAGCGAGAATGGTTCCAGTAAGGAATATCTATTTAGGAAGTAGCACTCCCCAGAATTGGCCTTGATGTCATAAGAGATATTCGGCATCAAATTTAGTGGGTTATTCGGGCACTAGGTGGCTTCTGTTTGTCGGCTGCTAAGTTTACAAATTTGACAGGTGGCATACTGCGTGTGCTTCAAACTGCTCTCTCATCTACATATCTACTTTATTTTTCTATAATGATGGAGGGGAAATATTTTTTGATAACTAATTTTGAATATGCTGTTGTCTATGATTTATGTTTATTGATGGTAACAAAGATGATAAACATAACGCATGGTTTTCTTCAGTCCTTTAATTATTAATTCCATTTGTAATTCTAAGCGATATTTAAAAAAAATAAAAGCACGTTATTGCTGAATTATGCTTACACAATTCAGAGAATTAGAGGAAAAGGACACTAGCCCAATTTAAACAAGATACTCGTAGCTCAGTTTTCTGGAACCAATGGAATACCTTAGTCTACCCAAAATATTTCTATTCGTTTTTCTTTAGAAGTTAGCTACACAGGCTATAGGTGAAGCTTGAATAAACTTTTGACAACACCTCGAAAAAGAAAGGAGTTATATGGGAGTAATACTGTGGGGTACGGGTTGTTTGTTCTCTCTCAGGATGGGGTGTACAATGCAGCTTGGTGCTGGGAAGGCAGCATGGTTACAGGCGTTGAGTAGAGAGAGATGGTTGGTGAGGGTGCTCAGAGGAGGACAGCTTGTGGGTCGCTATGCTCGCCGGCGGGAGCGAGGGCCGCCAGGCAGCGGCGGAGGAGGTGGTGTTGCTTGCTGCTGCTGTAGCTAGAAGAAGAGAGGTAGATCACCACGAGGTCAGGTCTTTTATAGCGGAGGTAGGCGTGGCTTAATAGTTGACCTCCGTCATGTAAGGCTGCGCTGGTTGACCTAGACCACGAGGCATACACTGGGGAATTCGCGGGGTCGGCTACTCAGCGACAAACAGCGTTTGTAGGGGAGAAATCCACTACAGTACTCCCCCCTTCCCTCCAGGCGGTGTAGGAGACTTGTTGGTCTGCAGGGTTGCATGGCACATGTGAGGCAGAACGGCGAGGGCATGGATGAGCCGGCCGCTAGAGGAGACACACTAGATACACACTATCTGTGGGAGTAGAGAGGGAGAAAAAGGGTGTGTGGAGGCGATGAATGTTGTGCTTCCCTCACGGCAGGTACAGAGTCGTCAGATGCGCCTGCTCGGGTGTGTGGGCCTGGGTCAGGAGCAGGGGCTGCGTCAGCAGAAGTGGATGAGGGCTCGTGACAGCAGCTGGGTCCACGACAGCAGTAGGGTGCAGGACAGTAGCAGGGGGTACCTGAGGGAGAAAAGAGGGGTGTGTGGGTCCGCGTCAGGAGGAGCGGCAGGGGGTACTGCTGGGCCGGGGCTGCGTCTGAGGTAGGGGGTACTGCTGGGCCGGGTCGGCGTCTGAGGCAGGACGGGTGTGTTGGGGTCGGTAGGACGCGGTGCTTGGGGCAGGAAGAGGAGCTGGTGTCTGCTTAGAGAAGCAGAGCTGCTCTAGGGTGTCTAACCTGCGGTGTAGAGACAGTATCTGTAGAGCCGATGAAAGCTGCCTCTGCGTTGGTAAGCCAGTTTTCCATGTTGCTTGAAGACTGGGAGAGTGATCTGTTTCTCCTCCATCCTGTGTGAGTGCGAATCTCCGGGGGTCACCATTTGTGGGTTACGGTTGTTTGTTCTCTCTCAGGATGGGATGGAGAAAGGAAGCTCACAATGTGCTCTCTATATACATGTTGTATTGGATGTACAATGCAGCTTGGTGCTGGGAAGGCAGCATGGTTACAAGCGTGATGTAGAGAGAGCTGGTTGGTTAGGGTACTCAGAGGAGGACAGCTTGTGGGTCGCCATGCTCGCCGGCGGGAGCGAGGGCCACCAGGCAGCGGCGGAGGAGGTGGTGTTGCTTGCTGCTGCTGTAGCTAGAAGAAGAGAGTGGTCACCACGAGGTCAGGTCTTTTATAGCGGAGTGTACTGCCCATAAATCTATAGACTCAACCCTCCGTGTGAGTAGGTTTTTAGATAATGTCTGTGGTAAAGGATCGGTTATTATCCAACCACCAGACTCAAGATAGGATAGTCAGTTCCCACAGTTTACAGCCTGGCACGATGCCTTAAAGTCGTGTCGAGAGACCAGCTCTCCAGGCTATGCCTCTCTCTAAATATATCAGCTAATTAAAAGCTAATAGCTAATGCTCATTAGTCTGTCAATACCAAATAATTGTACAGACATGACTACCCAATATAACTAGAAAATCACCACGTGTGTTTACATTAAACCAAGGAACAACGAGTGAAGAGAGCAGTACCTGTGTGTCTTGTTTGACTTACAAGCTAAGATAATTACAAGTGCAACCCAGGGCGGCTGTGACGATTTCGACTATCAACCAATCAACGACTGTATCAAAGGAGACACGCCCGTGAGATTACCTGATATCTCACTCAGCTGCATCAAAGGTACCAGCGACTAACCTACACTCACTCAGGCAAGTGTTAACAAGTTAGAGAGTTCGATATCATACCACAGCTAAAACAGACCCGGCCAACAGTAATAGGGTGGACGACCGGACCAACAGCAGGAGGGTGGATGACCCGGCCAACAACAGGAGGGTGGATGACCCGGCCAACAGCAGGAGGGTGGATGACCCGGCCAACAGCAGAAGGGTGGATGACCCTGCCAACAGCAGGAGGGTGGCTATCATCAACTGAATACAGTAAACCTTTTCTAATGTATTCCAACGATATTCGGTGGACGATAAGTAAGAATTATGTGAATTTGAAGGTTTTGCGAGAGGGAGTTTACTGATACCTTTCCATTTTCTGTTTATTGAAGTTAAGAAAATAAAGACGTTGTGTTGTTTTAAACTTTATTGTTAAATATTATACATATATTTATATAGCCCTCAGTTGCTGACAGGTATTTGAGGTGATGGAGTGAGTCAGCCGTCGTCAGGTTACTCGAAGGTGATGCCCTGGGCGCGCTGCTCCTCGGCAATGCGGATCTGTTCCTGGGCGTGGGCGGGGAGGGGGTGAGGCGTGGGCAGCAGGGGGGAATTGACATTGTAGCCGAATTCATCGGCGGTGTAGCTTACTTCAGCGAAGGAGCCGTCGGGCAGAGGGTAGCTGAGGGAGGAGTGAGGTGGGAGATGAAGGTTATTGGTGACCCAGGTGAGAGTGGGAACAACTGAAGGCTTCAGGTAGCAGTGGAGGCAACATTGTCAGTAGTGTATTAATAGATTATGTGTTGTGTGTTTACAGCTGTTCTGGTATTGATATATCTTAAGTTACATTGATAAGTGAAGAACTAATTTATACCTTTAGTAGACAGACATCATACAAGTGAGATTCATAAAAACATAACCACACGGGTGTTATTGTCAGACCCTTACCTGAAGGCGCCCTGAACGTTGCTCTGACCAGCTGAGCCAGGGGTGCCGGAGGCTTCCACTGTGATGCCGTTGTCGGCCTCGAAGACGTAGTTGAAGGTGCCGTCACCGTTGTCCTGACGGTCGTCACGGAGGACCAGCGCCAGGGGCTGGTTATCCTGGAGCTGAGGGGCGGCGACGGCCAAGGTGGCCAGACAGGTGAGGACTACCTGAAGGTGCAGGAGGATGGACAGTGAAACCAAGATCCCCAGTGTGTGTTCATACGAATATTTGTAACAACTGGCTGGAAAGTCTAGGTGGGTGATTTTTTTTTTCAAAATAAAAGTAGCATTATTATGTATTATTGGCATTGGTGACGGTGGTATTACTAGTGATTGTGGTACTTCTGGTGATGCTGGTAATACTAGTGAAGATGGTTATACTGGTGAGGATGATATGATGATAATAACTTTAGAAACGGAAACACTAATTATGATAAGAACTCAAATGTCGTTGTACTCACGAGCTTCATGTCTGGTGTGTGGTGAAGCGTCGAGGACGATGATGTCTGGCTGGTGGAGGAGCTCCCTTATATACCCCCACACACTGCCTGTAGGACCTGTCTGACCGAAGAGGGCGGGGCGTAGCGAGAGCTGGAGTAGAGAGCAAGTGAATGTTGTCCTGCCATGCTGTTATTCCTGATTTGTACTGAGAAATTAGGATGGTGGCGGGAGATGAACCCTTCAGAACCCCTCACACTTAAACCAACGCTACACAAGTCTTTGAAAGAGCTCACAATAACTCTATTAAATAAAATGCGTTTCTCTCGTTCTTTCACAAGTATACTTAATCAGGTTGATGTTTCAAGCACATACTGTATACACTAAGTAGGACTACAGGCAACACAATAAGTAAACAGCAAAACAATGCGAGTATTTTTTCTTGAATGCCGTAAACAACATTTGGTAGATGCACCAGAGGTTCCTTAATTAAAGGAAGTGTATAAATATGACCAGATTAAAGGTTCTCAGACAAACAGACAGACAGACAGACAGACGCATGGACACGCTCAACTACAGTGTATGGTAATGGGGCGCCGACCTGGCGAATTCGATACACCCAGTTTCACACGGTTAATAAACTAGATCATTACATGCGGTAGACCTTTCACTCAGACAAAAAATTTTTCGAGAGAGGGAAATTTTTTCTCACAAACTCCCTGCGAGGCTTAGTGGGTGGGGCGATCGCTTCACAGTTCCTCTATAGCTATATCGGTATAAATAATGTTCAAGTTGAAAAAATCGTAAATACCGATACATTTTAATGAGTACTTAAATGGTGGTGTTACCCTGAGGTTCTGAAGATCATCTGTTTTGGGGTACCTTTTGGGCACTGGTCTGAGGGAGTTTGAGTAGAAAAACGTAATGGTTCTTCATGACGTCTTTCGGTTCTGATTTATAATATTTTCATTGTTATTTAAGAGTTATAATCCACTGGAGTCTTCTATAGAGTGGCTGATGGATTTATCATATATACCCACAGTTATCCTTCATGATCTTACGACATTTAAGTAATGTGATTTTCATTTATAGTCATATCTTCTATTTTCTGAGGTTTTTGTCTATCTTCCTGTCTTATCTCTATATACGCACTCAAATCATCTCTATTTGTCTATATATCTAACATACTCCTGTTTAAATGTTTCTCAGAATCTATGTAACTTGTCTCTTTATTTGGCGAATTTAGACAAACTTATCCCTGTCAGAGGCAAATAAGTATCACCTTGAGATTATTTTATTTTAGTTTACAGTACATTAAATTATTTACGTTTTCTTTTATAATGAAACGATAATAAAAAAAAGCATGTTTTAGGGATAACTAATATAATAATTGATTGACCATTAAAAATTCGCAATCACTCAAATATTTCGACATGAGATTGTGATTATGGTTTAGAGGTAATAAATAAATGTAAAGGCAGTAGTCAATGCATAAATATTAGACACTGATGACTTAACACGTAAGGTACGTTGATTTCCCATTTAGAGTATCATGGCTTAATCCTCAGAATATGATGACTCGACTCCTGCAGTACAGTGACTTAACATTTGGAGTACAAGTACAATAATTTAACATTTAGAATACAATTAATTCTTCCGAGTTTTATAACAATAATCGAAAAGCAGCAACTATTATCGAACGTACTATAACTGTAACGTATGACAACTCTCTAAAAGAACAAGTCTACTGTGTTATATTCTCACATTCAAAGGACGAATTGGGGTAAATGAAGATTTGGACCTTCAGGACTGGGCTCATTAGGACCTTTTTCCCAAGCTTCAGGGTAACGTTAGCAGGGGTGGACCCAGGAAGGAGGTGGGGGAGCATGGCGAGTATAGCGAGCCGACCTAGCTGGGGTTTTTGGGGGCGCTGTAAGCTCCCAGTTTTATTTATTTTTAAATCTGACCAATATTATGGGCATTTTGAGGCCATTTTGAAACCATGTGCACTTGATATTAAGATATATTCTAAGGTCAATCGTACAAAACGCCTGAGTACAATACTGCCCCTGGTTAGGTAAGGTCAGGATAAGTTTGGATCCTGTAGGAGTAGGAGGGATAATCACCCGGGCAGATTCCATTCCACCTTATCATATCTACTCACAAAACAGTCAACAATTCCTTAGTCACTGACCAGTGGAAAATACAGCACTCCTTCCCCTCCCGCCTCATCTCCTCCCAATTGTGCCTGAAACCGGTTGAGGGGGAGCGGAAGAAGACAAGCGGTCACGGCCCTATGATAAAAAGTGACCTCCCTTACCTCTGAGTGTGAATTACAAACATAAAAACCTCTTAGAAAACACACACCAAGGAGATGAAACAAGGGACAGTTATTATTTGTTCACCAGACTGCCATAGAAATCTACTCACGAACCTTGACGATAGGAATTTTGGAACACCCCCCCCCCTTTTAAAAGATCCCGGATGCTGCCCTATACCTAATGATAAAACTAAGTCCCATATACAGTACACTACACCTTTTTTTCCTCTTGGTCACCTCATATGCAAATACCAAATCACGAAGTTTTCTCCCATTCTTAATAAGGAGATTCCCTTTCTACATCTGTCTCCCTACGAGGTACTTTACGTGACCCTGGACATGAGTTTGGTGTCAGGAACATAAGTGATGGCTCCTAGTTCCAGGGTGGAGAGTGTTCATGTTGATTTGACAAGATGGAATACAGTCGTGAGGTTTTATTTATTATCATAGTGACGATCTACATATCTTTGGTCTCCAGTTGACAATATTGATACAAACAGATTCTCTTTCTCTAATGAGTTATAGTTACTGGGTCAGGTTTAGTGTCACAGGCCATAAGACTTAGTAGTGAGGTACACAGGGTATCTCACCAACACTCATGGTTTCATAGTACTAGAATTCGAACATTTAGTCCAAGTATACTCATAGTTTCACGTTATGAGATGTAGCTACTGTAGTTACTTTCAACTTATTAGATCAAATAACTAAAAGATAAGTTGAATTAGTCACATAAGGTTTATACTGACGTACCCGTGATGGTTAACAGTGACACCTGGACATGGGGAGGAGGACGGGTTAGATCAGTGCCCTGTAAACACACAATTCTTCCTAACCATAATAACCTTTTACAATATAAAGTTCTCCCTCGTGTATTGAACACTTCCCCTCCACACCGCTCTCACAGAAGCCTTGTATTAAAAGCAGAGGACAACATCAGATAGACACTGCTTACCGGACTACTTCCAAGTGTGGCGTATTGTGAGAAAAAGAACATCAGCTGTTGATAAGACCATCCACGAGCCTCTACTCCCCTCCCTTTAGTTCGACTGTAACAACTGCTTTCTCTGAGTCTAATTCAGGGAAGATCCTGGATTTAGGGGATTTAGGGAGACTAAGATCCTGTTGGGTTTGTTTTTGTCAAAATTTATTGTTTGGAACAACTTTCGTGTTTGTGAAATAAAAGAGGTTGCTGTAATCCTTTCACTCAACTAATCCACTTATGTAGCATCACAGGTTGAAAGCAATGACCACAGACCCCATTAAGACGATTCTCTTATGTTTAACGGTGGATGCGCTTACGAAAACGCCTTCATATATATAACAAGAGAATGGAGAAAAGCGCACTGACGGAAGGAGGTAAAGGGGAGGGAAACTGGAGTGGCGGGATGAGGTGTGGAGACGAAGGTGGAGTACCTGGTGTAGAATAGAGACATGTACAGTGTGGTGTGGAGAGATGAGCGAGACATAGATGGGAGGAGATGTATGAACCGAGAGAGGGTTGTGTGGTGGAGGGAGAGGTGGGAAGGGAAGGGAAGGGAAGGGAAGGGTGTGTGAGAGGGGTTACCGGTTATGATGGGACGGGAAGCTGGAAAAGAGATGGAAATGAGAGGAGAGGCTGGGTGTACCGTAGAGGGAAGGTTAGATGTGTGAAAAGTAGCCGAACAGGTTTGGAAGGAAAGTTACAGGTATATGGTAGAAAAAAGTCTGGACAGAGAGATTGACAGGTACTGTAATTAGGAAAGGGGAGGGAGGGGGGGGGTAGATAGACAGGTTGATAATGAAAGAAGCAACGGGCACGGAAAGAGAAAAGAAAGGCATAAAGAGAATGGAATAGACAGAGGAAGGAAAAAGACACTTGTATGGAGAGAGAGATACAGAGGATGGAGAACAGGTATGGAGAGAAATGGGAAGGGTCAGGACAGGTGTGGACCGTCATCACACACCTGGTATCACGTTCCGATGTTGGCAGGGTCAGGTGAAACGGTCCTTTCCCTTCTCTGGTGACCGGACACCCAGTAACGCTAGCTTGGATTACCATTTAACACTATCAAGTATTAATATAAACTCGTTAACTTTATTTGTAAACACGGATCACCTGAAGATCACACACCCCAGCTTATCTTACTTGAAGATTAACCCAGCCTAACCTAATCTAACCTAACCTAACCTACTCGTTAGGGGCAGAGTGGATACAGCACACTGTATACTAAGCCTTCAGCACACCAGGAGGCAGCATGGCCGGTACTGTGCTCGACCGCCTTCACTTCCCCAAGTTGTAAGCATAGGTACCCATTTACAGCTGGGTGAACTGGGAGTGCCCGGGGATCGTACCACTGACCCCAGGAATAGGAGGCGAGCGCTGTATCCACTAACTATCATTAAGGAAGTACTTAACATTATTTTACATTTTCATTAATGACGTTATATCCTTTCCACGCTAACCTGGCCCGTAAGCCCCGCCCCTCGTCTTAGCTACAAATAGCTGATTGGTTCCCCTGAGCGTTTTACCTCCCCCCGGACTGAGCGTATATAAGCACGTATTTATATCAACCTTTTATGATAAGCATTTCTAATTTCTAATGTCCTCTCTTTAGTGCTAATGCCTTGAAATTATTTGCATCTTGATAGTCCAGATATATAACATTATTTGAGGTAATAACAGATCTGTTTACCAATTGTGAACACGTTTAGTTTGAAATTTATATGAACCAATCAGCTATTAGTATAGAAGAGGGGCGTGGCTTACAGGCCAGGTTAAGAGTGGAAAGGGTATAGTTCTTAAGTACATTTATAGTATTTTAGTTCTACCTAGCTCCAGACATCACCCTCAGTCAGGTTTACGTCACAACACTGCGAGAAACTGTGTCAGCTCGGCCACTTTGGTGATGGTGGTTGGTCAGAGGGTCAGTCACAACAGGTTCTAATTCCAGTGACCCTCAACCTAATTTAACCTGAATCAACCTACCCAAACCTTTCTTAATCTAATCAAATTTATTTTCTTACAGCTTTTTCTCTCTCCTTTTTCTTTATCATCTCTGTATTTTCGTTTCTCTCTTTCCCTTTGTCCCTTCCCTCTTCTACTTCCTTCCCCCTCTCCCCCCTCCTTCACCCACACAGTTGTAGATCAATCATTATCTTTCGTTCTCTCTATCTTTACATCTCCTCAAATCATTATCTCTCTCTATCCCTCCTTTCCTTCTCTATTTCTTTCTATACCTTTCCACATTACTCTTATCCCTCCTTCCCTCCCATCCCACCAATCCGCCATTCCATTTCCTCCTCTCTTTCTCTTTATTCTTTCTGTCTATGTGTCTGTCCGACTCCCTCTCTCTACTCCCCTTCCTTCCTTCCGTCCTTCCTCCCCTCCTTCCATTCCTTTCTCCCTCCTTCCTCTTAACTAACACTCCCCCTCCTTTTATCCTTCCTTCCTCCTCCCTCCCACCCTCCTCCTTCATTTTTTCCTTCCTCCTCCCTCTCCCTCCCTCCCTCTCCCCCTTCCTTCCAACCCTCTCAACTCCCATCCACTTCTCTTCCTTCTTCCATTCAACCAATTCCCTCCCTCCCTCCCTCCCTTCCTTTCCTCCCTCTCCCTCCCTCCGTCTCTCAGGTAGGTCCCCGTCATAAACTTTCCCGGAGGACAGGTGAAGGTTGGTAGGACCTTCAAGGTGACCAAGTGGTAACTAATCTTGTCCAGCCAGGTAACCGGTTTTCGTCTACCTCGCCGCCTGGTTTCTGGACACACTACTCGAGTTTCGTGGTGGTCCTCGAAAAAGGGGCACACAGAAGGGGACCGAGTGATAGTGATCCTAAAATAGGGAAAAAAGTGATAGTTTAGAAAAAAAAAAGAATATTTGGGTGGTTTCTTAATATAGGTTTACAATAATCTGTAAGTGGATAATAGTAATAATGATAAAAATAATAATAATAATAATAATAAATGATAATAATATCACTCATACATAGCAAACAAGCAGGAATAAACATAACAAAACGAGAAAAAAGTGTGATGATAATTCCAATAATAGCGTTTACATAACCCTGATATAGTACAGGTTTTATAATATTAATAATCCTATAATAAATACTAATATACCCCCGTTTTCTATGATATCCCGGTATAACTAATGTAAATGGAAGGATAAGAGAGTGTTTTCTATTTTAATGAATCGAATTTTATGTAATGTGATATAAAGGAGATCGAATCCTTTGTAAATGATATGTAATCCTTTATGATGTTGCTGAAGGTTTGTGTAATGTTTCGTAGTGTAATGAGTCATATGATACCGTGTAATGTTGGTAGAAAGAGAAGTGGAGGGGAGAGGAAGATGAAGGAGAATAGAGAGAGAGAGAGGGAGGAAAGAAGAAGAGAGAGAGAGAGGATAGGAAGAAGAAGAAGAAGAGAGAGAGAGGAAATAAATAACTAGAAATTCAGAAAGAAGAGGATAAGTAATTATTCTCTGGGTGTCATAAGAATCCCAATAGTCAACAATACAGGGACTGGATCACTATCTCCACCACCGTTGAAATCACCTACCAATACCAAGGCTCCTCACGCCAGAACTAACCAAACTCAAACCTTCAAATTAGTTTAAAAAAATACATCGAAAATACAATATCCTTAACTAACTTCTAAAGAAAATTATATGGAGTTTTATGTGTTATCTAACCCAGTAAAGAGCGATGGGGCAGTAGCGTGGAGAGTTTGTGGGCAGGCCGGGAGGAGAAGCAATGTTAGACGGAGGCATGGAGGACGAACAGGTCAAGAACGTATAGATTAGAGGTTAGAGACACAGTGAAGAGCATTGGTTGGTGTTCTTGCCCCGGTGATCAAGTTGGCTTAGACGGAGGGTGGGGGTGAGGGTGGAGAGTGTGGAAGCTGAGGTAAGGGGTGGAGGGTGGAGGGTGGAGAGTGGAGGGTGGAAGATGGAAGGTGGAGAACGTGTCTATATTAAGGATATTGTGTAGGGGAAGATTCAGTCTGATTGCTAGATAAAGACGCCATTTTTCTTTATCACTTCCTGAAAATGGGTGACGCCAAAGAATACAGAAATAATCTGACATATTAAAAAATATCAGTGTGAAGTGTTGTGGGAGGAAAGATATATTAATTAATGCATATGGATAAAAGGGCAACATTCTTAGCACTTTCTAATAAAGAAAATAACATTAGGGAGTTCATATAAATAGCAAGACCTCGTCAGTATCTCCTACAGGTAACGTCTTCACCTGGGACGTCCTGTATCCTCCCCCTCGCCTTCTTCCCCCGTCAGGAGGAGTGTTGTGGAAGGTAAATCACTAAATTCTCTAAAGGACAAACTTGAACAACATAATCAAGGAAGCAGAATCATACAAGTTAAGGTCCTCAAGTGCTTCATAGATCAGTTAGAGTCATTCAAGTGTGTCCAACATGGGGAGTTATGAAATACCTTATTTGACAACTGGACAAATATCACGATGTTGCCGTCAGATCTACACAAAGAGACAGAAACTGGTATAGCAACTTGCAGGTGTCCAGCAGGGTGGGCTTCTGATCCCCCATCTATTCTACTAAATCAGTGTGGCTTAAGTAATAAGTTTGACCCCAGAGACTACACAGAGTAGATTTCAGTGGCGGCAAAATAACTGATTCAAATAAGATACACAGACAAGAGGAGTTTGTTAGTGAATGTGATATGGAGTTAACACATCTGTAAAAAGAGTTCGATAGCAAGTGAAAGTGTTTGGTTACTGCTTTGAACAGTAAGGAAAAGTAGTATAGTTATTCTTACGGTGTAAAGGAAGGAGTGGGTAAAAAGTAAAACGAAACTCCAGAAAAAAATAAAACAAATATTAATTATTCTCGTCAAGGGATAACACAAGAAGACTCTGGTAGTGACTGAGAGTAAAAAGATGAATCAAACCTTAAACCTAACCTAACCTAACTTAACCTTTAACCAAGTTCAAGATTGAGAAAATAACACGAAGAAGATCCATGGTTCGAGAAGAGTGTGAGTAAGACGCCAGCAGACAGTTCAAGACAGATGAGGTTGGTGGTACTAGAGGTAAATACTGAGAGACGAGAGAGCGACTCTCCTCCTACATCTGTCTTGGTGCCTGCCTTCCAAAAACACAACTTCAGATACTCATAACACACACACACACACACACACACACACACACACACACACACACACACACACACTATGACATAGTTCTATACACTTACAAAGACGAATTTAAGACATCAGGAACCACACATCAACGTCGACTTTCACAAACAGAAGCAACACGTCAGCACGACTCTAAACATTAACCTATGAACATGAAAACTAATTGAGTTATCTCCTAAGATAATAGAGAACACAAGATCAACCTTCATAGAAAACTTCAGCATCACATTTAGTCGTGGTCAAGTGTTGCCTTAACTAGGATATTATCTACTTTAGTTAAATATTCGAAGTAAGAAAACTGAATTCGTATGTGTTAACCTTTTTTGAGTACTATGCCAAGCCTCTGAGTACAGCGAGGTAGTTCATTAAGTGTGATATTTTAACCCCTTGAGTACGATATCTTAAGCTCTTAGATTCGCTATCGTATTCCCTTCGGTAAGATGAGTTTGTACTGAGCGGGTGAAGTCATCAAACTCAAGGGGTAAAAAGCATCGTACTCAGAGGATTAGACACTTTTATTTCTTGAACATTTATTCCTTACCATCATAAGCTCTGACCCACATCTTTTCATTGTTTTCTTCTGTTCTTGATAATAATGATAATAACTTCCTCGTATGTCATGTCTTGCAGTATTAAAACACCGCCTTAGTAAACTTCTTCATAAGTTACACAACAGAGAAAAGGCGGCAGACACTTTCCCTGCGTTGTATCAAAGTGTTGACAGAGACGAGTGTATTTAAATTTTTTTGTAGTACAATTCAGGGATAAGTGTCGGCAGGACAACATTCACCTACAGTCTGCCCCAACCTTCGCTACGCCCCGCCCTCTTCAGTCAGACAGGTGGTCAAGGCAGTGTGTGGGGGTATATAAGGAAGCTCCTCCACCAGCCAGACATCATCGTCCTCGACGCCTCACCACACACCAGACATGAAGCTCGTGAGTACAAGACTGAAGAGCTTCCCTTAATTATTTTTTTTACCGTTCATGTTGTTATCTGTTTTATCACCAGTGTCTTCATCACAGTAAAAATATCAGAAGCTGATTTTTTCCCCCTTTTGCCAAGCCTATATTTTGCTAATTCTTCTCCTCCTACAGGCAATCCTCGCCTGCCTGGCCACCGTGGCCATGGCCGCCCCTCAGCTCCAGCAAGGCCTCCCAGTAGTACAGGTCCTCCGTGATGAACGTCAACAGGACGATAATGGCAACTTCAACTACGCCCTGGAGACTGACAACGGCATCTACATGGCAGCCTCTGGCGTCCAGGGCTCACAGGGACAGATCAACATTGAGGGCTCCTACAGGTAGGTGTTGACCTTCGTCTGCTAAACTGAAACAGTCTGTTGGTTACAAAAGTAACAGTCAAGAGTTACTTCATCAGTATCAGTAACAGCAATACCTGAAGGAGGATATCATTAACTTTGAACTGTTAATATCATCACATCCTTTAAGGCGTTCCTTCACTGTCCCTCCACCAGCAGGTCACCAAGACTTACAGTGTAACTTGTTCCTCCCACAGACTCCCTGACAACGAAGGCGGCTTCCAAGAGGTCCGCTACGTCGCCAATGAGTTCGGTGTCCAGGCCCAGTCCCCCCTGCTGCCCACTCCCCACCCACTCCCAGCCCACGCCCAGGAACTGATCCGCATCGCCGAGGAGTTGAGGAGTCAGGGCGTCGTGTTTGACCAGAATGGCTTTAGAGTAAACAGAAAGTAAACACATTCTGACGAGCACTACACCACAGTCCACCAACTATGTAAATTTACTTCCAATTAACACATGTGCAAATAAATAAAAAAAAATTACATTGCAAATTGTTCATTTTTTTCCCATATGAAGGTACGAGGAATGTCTTGGCTGTTGCTTTATCACTATTTGATATATAAATTATATGTAGGTCCCAGACTATACACATCACGCAACTCACCTCTCCCATACAGGTCTCTTATTCGTTCTCATTCTAAGTCACTCGTCCATGGCCGATAAATAACAAATATAGCCTCAAACATTATAAAGACAAAACAAATATTTCTTCTTTTAACGAAATATAAATATAAAAAAATAAAAAATCACGGAAAAATAAATAAACAATAATTGAAGCAGTAAATAAACGTGTACTTGTAGAGAGAAAACACAAGAATATGTCACAATCTGTGTTAAGATGTAATGGCAACACTAATGATCTATCCTGAAATATAAGTGAGTTGTATTGTGAGGAACGGCAGTAAGGGTAAAGAGGAGGTCAAGTTTGTGAAGTGACTACCGCACGTGTACAGACCAAGCCACTAAGACACCTAAAAGAATGTGAGGAAACTGAGAAATTTATCATGGTTTCCCCTACCGTCTTTGACCCTGTTTTCTGTAAGCATTTGTCACATGAGACTCATTTACTATTAAAGAGATCATCGTTGACGGAAGGTTCTTACCAGCCGTTTAACACATTACTTAGATGATAAATGTTTGGTAGCGAGAATAATACTACTACTAATAACAAAATAACATGACACTGTACACGAGATGATTAGTTTTCCACCTTATGGCAGCCTCCTGGACGATGCCTCACTCAGTCTTGGGAGGAGGAGTAGTGTCTGTTGATGAGGTTCACTAATAGTCCGGTCAGGCTATACCCAGAGAAGCCTACAGGTCATATATGATAATTTTCATAAATCTAAAATGGATGTTGGTTAATATTATCCACCACTATAGTTCTGTACTTAGTAAAGTTACAGGAAAGATAATTTTATGTTAGTGATACAAACTGGTACAAAGATAATAACTTTCATTTACTCTTGAGGCCAATTAGTCCAGAAATATTACTAGTCTACATGACAGAAACAGAGTTAATAATGTTAAGATATTGTTTGGACAACACATAATACTCTGGGCACTATTCTAGCTTTTCCTGGAATATTTACACACTGATGACAAAGAGTCGGCCACTTTATCTTCTCTCTCTGTCTCCTTCATCACGGCAATGGTCAGCAGATAGCACAGGTGAGTTGGTACAAATAATACCACTGTACTCAACACACGCTGCTGGTTACTTCAATTCACCCATCATCCTGTACTACAGTCTGTTTTACTCTTACATCTGATTATACTCACAAGAACCTCCGGAGGTGTTGGCAGATCAGTCATTCGTGGTTCAAGGCGATCCTGTACTCCAAACATTACCTCTCATCTGGGCCCAAATTATCAGGTTTTCCTTACTATTGGTCAACCTGATAGTACTCACTGGTCAGACACTGTGATATGAGGCAACTGATGCCGTCGGAAGATAAGTGTGTACCTGTACACTGGTGGCCACCTTCATAGAGAAACTTAAGTATCGTAGTGCGTGTAATCCGTCACAGGCGGGTCTCTATACACACAACAAAGAGCTTTCTCGTCATCATCTATAATAACAACCTACGATGAGTCACTGAAGAGTACTACAGTCTCATCATTAAAATCCGGGTCACAAGTAAGCCTTTGGGGAGCCTCACCTCATTAAGGAATAAGCGCCAGGTGGTGTTATATTCTGCAATGACTTGTACGAAGGCAGCAACTGATATTTATGGACCTAATTATTTCTACAGTCATATTTTGTTCCAGACGTGAACCAGCTTTGCTTCCTTCCTCCTTCCTGACCAAGAGAACGGGCTAAATGACTCGGGGTCAGCATGGAAGCACAGAAGCACTAGGATATAATATCTTCTATCACAGTAGTGTCACAAGGCAGCAGACTCTACTGTTGTCTGAATAATCAGTGCGTCGACGTTACCCTCGGCATGGATAGTTTTAATCCCTTTGTGGTGTCAATATGAGGATAAACTTCTGCTTGTTTCACTATAAGGCAAGAACTTGTCTGACTTAGTTTTGAAGTTCATCACTCCAACAAAGTTACTTCAGGACCAACAACGTCTACATGTCTCCCAGGCTGTGGCGACTTTGTTGATGAACCTACAGTGTGCTCGTCAAACAGTAGTTGTAGTTGTGTTGTACGTAATCAACTTCACCATTGTATATACAGTTGAATGTTTTCTCCTGCTTGACTGTCCTTATTAATGCCGCTGTTTTAGGGAGTTTATTGTTATTGAGTTGGTGGATGTGTGTACGGCTCGTTACCTCTTGTTCACTGAAACTACTTTGTTCATCTGTGATAATTAGTTAGGGATCTTTATCTCCGCTATCAACAATTCCTGGTTCTCATATCTTCAGTTTCTAATTTGTGTTATTTTTCATTTTCACGTTTATCCTGAAGCGTCACTTATATCTTATTCATCTTCCCTGTCATCCATCACTTGGTCTAAACAAAAGCATTTAGAAAACATTTCCATTGTTGTGATGAAGTTATCATATATTCAATACTTGTTTATATTACACAAAATCTATTTAAACTTTTGAGGTCGACAGATTTAAATTATAATCTATGAATAATTATTTAATAAAAAACCAAGTGTAGGATAAGAACATCTCAGGACAACATTCACCTACAATCTAGTCCAGTCCTCGTCAGGCTCCGCCCCCTACAGGTGGTCAGGGCAGTGTGTGGGTGTATATAAGGGAGCTCCTCCACCAGCCAGACATCATCGTCCTCGACGCCGCACCACACACCAGACATGAAGCTCGTGAGTACATAAATACTTAGTATTCGATGACAGTAACTGAGATTTATGTTTAGTCTTGTCTTAGTTTATATCTTGCTAAATCTTGCAGCCCATGTAGTGATTATCATCTCCTCCTACAGGCAATCCTCGCCTGCCTGGCCACCGTGGCCATGGCCGCCCCTCAGCTCCAGCAAGGCCTCCCAGTAGTACAGGTCCTCCGTGATGAACGTCAACAGGACGATAATGGCAACTTCAACTACGCCCTGGAGACTGACAACGGCATCTACATGGCAGCCTCCGGCGTCCAGGGCTCACAGGGACAGATCAACATTGAGGGCTCCTACAGGTAGGTGTTGACCTTCTTCTGCTAAACTGAAACAGTCTGTTGGTTACAAAAGTAACAGTCAAGAGTTACTTCATCAGTATCAGTAACAGCAATACCTGAAGGAGGATATCATTAACTTTGAACTGTTAATATCATCACATCCTTTAAGGCGTTCCTTCACTGTCCCTCCACCAGCAGGTCACCAAGACTTACAGTGTAACTTGTTCCTCCCACAGACTCCCTGACAACGAAGGCGGCTTCCAAGAGGTCCGCTACGTCGCCAATGAGTTCGGTGTCCAGGCCCAGTCCCCCCTGCTGCCCACTCCCCACCCACTCCCCGCCCACGCCCAGGAACTGATCCGCATCGCCGAGGAGTTGAGGAGTCAGGGCGTCGTGTTTGACCAGAATGGCTTTAGAGTAAACAGAAAGTAAACACATTCTGACGAGCACTACACCACAGTCCACCAACTATGTAAATTTAAACTCACATAAGACATAAAATATGTTTAATTATAGTAAAGTGTTTGATATTAATTTGCCTTCTTGTGTTCTTGAGTCAGAAAAAGAGGAATTATTTGAAGTATTTTGTACATGTGTTTGTTCTTTAGTCTTTGTATGAAATCCATGTCAAATGTTTTCCACGATCACAGACCAACACTCCGACCTATGAAAGTCACTACTCAAAACTGAAAAAAAAAACATCATCCTTTCATTTCCATGCATGTCTCTCCTTACCTTAACCTACCCTGTTACTATCGAGTATACACGTATGTACCTCTTAACACACACACACTCTCTCTCTCTCTACAGTAGATCCTCTCTTACCCCTTTCTTCATTCTTAAACATTCTTCTTCCTGTTCCTACTTCTTGACACACTAAAGAAAAAAAAAAAAGAATTCAATAACTATCTCATAAGAATTACAATTTCTTCGTCCACGCCTTAAGTTTTAATTTTCAATAGTTTCTCCTTAGATTACTTCATTTTCTTTGTTTACTTGTGAGCTCCATTTTTATTGCATATTGCTAAGTGTTACATCAAGAGAATACATTATATTAAGGTGCAAAAACCAAGGAAATAGATTACAGTATTCTAGCATAAGAGAAACATATCTATAACATAACATTACATTATATTGCTTATGAATTTCTATTTATTGATGTTCAGTATAAAATCAAACTTAAGGATTTGTGGTGATGAACCGCAGGAGATACTACACAACAGCAATGTCAAAAGGTCGTACATTGAATCTACCTCGTGTGTAAAGATGTGAGGCTGAATACTCAAAACTAAGATCAAACGCAAATAAAAAACTCACCGAAAATTAAGATAAAACACAAAAAAACACTCAAAATGAATACAAACATGCACTATTAACTCCACCTTACTAGTTACGTTCACTTAACTTGTCTAAAATAGAGGCTGGGTGGCTACAACGCTCGTCTTGTATCCTGAGGGTCGCTGGTTTGAGTCCTGGGTACTCCTAGTCGACCCAGCTGTGAACGGATACCTGATATTAGTTTGGGGGGGGGAAGTAAAGGAGGTCGAGTGTAGAGTGATGGTCAGATTACCTCCTTCAGTATACTGTATCCGCACTGCTCCTAAATGAATAGTTAGTGCAAAAATACATTAACAAGAGGGATGAAAAACTGATCATGAGTCACGGGTCAGACAGTCAGTCAGTTAAAGAATGTCAAGCAGTCAGTTAGCCAGTCAGCCAGTATGATAGTCAGGCAATCAAGCCGTCAGTTATTCACTCAAATGGGCAGAAGGACAGTCAGTCAACTATTTGGTCGTTCATGGAGCTGAGTAACAAAGGTAAATAAGGAAAGACTGTGTGAGAGAGAGAGAGAGAGAGAGAGAGAGAGAGAGAGAGAGAGAGATGACTATAATTAA